TATATATATTTTTTTTTCCTTTGAAGCACTTATTCGTATTATATAGAAAGATATACTGTTCTCTGTCTTTTGTTTTCTTTCTACATGTTAACCCTATGTAAAGCTAATTGCAAGTTTAAAGATGTTTTGTTCAAAATATGCAAAACTTAAAATATCTTTAATATTCGTAACATTAAATTAAAAAATAGCACGTTAAGTTATTAGATTAAGAAGCTTCAAAAAAATGCACCCGAATAAATATTAAGACGGTAATGAATATATCGAAGTTAAGCGCTCGGTGTTATCTCGTTTGAGAAAGATATCGAGATGATCGCTAATGATTACAGAGATCTATGAAATTTATATTTTACAAGTTATAGAAGCTGACAAAACTTATGTAAAATCGATTAGTACACATTTACATAGCAAACTATGGACAATTGTAAATCAATGACAAACACGGTGATTACGTAAAAAAAAGAATATTGTTACATAAGTAGCATATACACAATGACAGACTTACAATGTTCAATTTTCAGTGATTTAATAACTAAGTAGAATACCAACACAAACACGGAGTCCAAAAACAAAAAAAAATAAAGGCCTTCTAATTGTCTCTCATATGCATACGCTTTGAATGATTCTCAAAAAAGAAATATTAAGCACAGGTCCTAATGTTGTATTACTTTTTCATATAAATAAAGTACTACTTTGTCAATAAAATTAACTCAATTATCTTGCTATATCCCGCGAAAAATTTTTTTTTTTAATTTTAGCAAATGAAAAATTTTAATTAATGAAACTTGTGCATCGACTATTATTATGTATTATTAATTTACCGTTATATATATTCTGATATTTATTTACATAATTTAACCATGTTTTATTTTACATTTTGAAAGCATCTAGCGCATTATAGAGCTTATATACGTAGAGATGCTCTCCGAATACTTTTTCTTTATTCTTAGGAAGTATTTGTTGATAGAAAGGGAGGGAAGGATATTTTCTATCTTTTATGTTTATGTCGTGAAGCATGAACATAAGAAATATCTGGACGGAGCACAAGGTACATTTTTGGGCGCGGAGTATGAAGACTGAAGAATAAGGGGAAATCTCGAAACCATAGACATAGTATATCTTTTTTTCTACTCTTCATTTTCTCTCACACCATTTAAATACCCAATTAAATGCCTACTTCCTACCTTATTTGACGGAATAGATGACATTACATGTTATTTATTGTACGATTGCGCAATTTATCAGTTTTTGATAAAAAGCGATTACAGATATTTAATATAATTATATTATATTTGTAATTATAACTATATATATACAGGGTGAGGCATCTAAGACAGACCACCCGAATAACTCCCACAGTTTTGGAGATAGGAGAAAATGTTTGAAATAATTCATAGTAAAATATAAATGATTAATTGATCGGATTTGGATTAACCCGTTCGTTCGAAAACGCTATAAGAAACTTTGGGAATCCTAGAAATTCTCTATCCGATAGCCAATCAAAACATCTAATAACAAACTCGTCGTACAATGACGTAATCATAGACATAGTATATCTAGACCGAGCGTTTGCCTTTATTTAAGGAGTGGGAGTAAATATACGCGTAGAAAAGGACATACTCTGTTTCGTGCCCCTTGCGTTCTCTCTCGCTCGCACGTAGCATGACGAAAGAGAGCGCTATGCTCTGTGCGAGCGAGAAAGAACGCAAGAGGCACGAAACAGAGTATGTCCTTTTCTACGTGCACCTCGGCTCCCACTCCTCAACACTCGGTCTAGATATACTATGTCTATGGTCTAGATATACTATGTCTATGCTCGAAACCATCTTGATTGTTCAATAGTAGCATCATCGATATATAGTACTGGACGGATATATAAAGAAGTTAAGGCTATCACACACAAAATTCTGTAAGGACGTAAGCGTAAGAAAATGGACCAATCCCAATCGAGTATTTGGCTCTCCGTAACCCCTCCATTTTTACGGAAAGCCCAATACTTGATTGGGATTGGTCAATTTTCTTACGCTTACGTCTTATGTCCTTACTGGAATTTTGTGTGTGATGGCCTTTAGCGGTCTAGTAATATATAAAAGTCTGTGGTAGGCACAGACACAGTATATACAGTAGCGCAAATTGTAAGTGCCTTAAAAATCGTGGCGACCGTTACGAGGACTACCCTGTATATAATATTATTCAAAAAATGTTAAATGTATTATGTTCAAGTATGATAATATTTTATTTTTATTTTTTTGCTTTCTTTATTATTTCGTGTAATATATTTTATATACAGCATAATTATATTTATGTAATATTCATATAATATATTGTATATTAGTATAATTATATTTATCTTTTTATTATTTTATTTTTGTCCTTTTTTAAATATATTAACAATTTATCTGTATATATTTTTATTATTATTAAAATACATTATTCTGGATTATTATTTATTGCTACATATGTATCAATAAGAGAGAGAACGAAAAACGAGAGAGTAAGCGAGAGAGAAGTCCAGATGGCGTTACCGACCAACTTACTTATTTCGCGTATGCGCACTCTGTTTTGGCCAACACTAATGGCCCTCGCACACTGGACGCGATGGGCGATGCGCGACGAGATCGTGAAAATTTATTTTTCTTTGTTCACACTGAACACGATGTGAGGCGATTGAACGCGACGCAACGATCGGAAAATCGAATTAAATTGGCATTGTGTTTATTAGTAAAGAGTATGTGTATTTATTAATAAAAAGAGAACTGAAATGTTACATTGATAGAAAATAGAGAATATACACAAAATATAATGATATACCGGTAAGTACTTTAAATTTACAAAATGAAGTATTTAAGAGGATGCCGGACCGTCCTGTTTTAACGACCATAATAATTATATTGATATATTTGCTTAATATAAAAGTTTTGCAGTTTGTATGTACAAAATAAGATAGGTTCCCACTCGAAAATGCATGAAAGAATATAAGTGAACGTTTAAAAATGTATTTAGAAGCATAGTAAAAAACATTTTGGTGTGCAAAATTTTTTTTTTGATATTTACTTTATAGTATGTATACTATAAACATCAATATGTGCTATTTTAATGAAATAACTTTACGTAATATATATGTCTAGAATATATATATGTTATTCTCGCGATAGAGTAGAAAAAAACATTAATACTTCAATAAACCTAATTTTGTTTGATAAAACGATTGTAGAAAAAAGAGAATATTTCAGATTAAATAGCTTTTTGTATGTTTTTATAATTTTCATTAAACATTATGTACAATAAAATTATATTTTTTATATCGTACAAGATATCAAAAATTGTTTTTCCCTTTCCCATTCTTAAAACAAAGAGTATAAATCGTAAAGAGCAATGCTAAATAATAATTTTAATTTAAAAAGGGATTCACATAATCTTATGTAAATATACTACAAGTACCGATAGCATTGATGTCCATTTCAACGTGCGGTGGATCATTGGAAAATGCTCAGTATGTCACGATGCAAATCGGAATTGAAATCCGAGTTATGATACACGGAGTATCGATAGTAACAAAGCAACAAATCATCAAATCTAACAGGCATCCGTCTGACGTATTTTGTATTTATTTACTTTGTTATCTATTATCCTAGCATTATTGATCATCATACAATATTTGATTGCAGATATAATTTTAACTATAATTTAAACATATATCTACATATGTATATACGCAAGTATAAAATTCTTATAAAGTGGGCGCTTATTAACCTTGTTGCATTGCTCTTACGACAGGCCAGAAAGCATTTTCAGGCCGTATTTCGGCCGTAAGCGATACGCTAGAGGAACAAAGGATAGCACGCGATTGTCGCTCCTTGTCTGACATTATCTCCCAACAATCGCATTCGTGTGCTCAACGTATCGGTGTTGTGCCTTCACGGACGCTACACACATACGCGATGAAAGAGAGACAAAGACAGCGCATCATCTCTCTTTGTCAAACGATCA